AAACTGACACCTGGCTCCTTACCGACAGCAAGATCAGCATTTTTTTAAAGGCTCGCAACAATAAACAAAAGCAATAAAACTATGTACCTTCTTTATGAGCTTCACTTTAAAGTGAGCATTTCCATAAAAAAGTGATGCACATGTTTTAACCTGAAGATGTGAAAACAAAGTTATGTAGGTGTGGACTACCCCACCCCACCTTTTTATTTTTACCATGATTGCTTTATGTGTCTATTTCTGCACATTCATTAGTTTGCCAACATCACTTTAATCACCACTTTCTTTCTTTTTGTTGTTTTTTTTTTTTTTGCACTTACAGTATTTGATGCAAACCACATCAGCATTGCTGTAACTATCCTCCACGGTCTGCAAAGTTCTTGTGCGTAAACTAATCCCGACCTGTCACCCTTGAGGCCACATGAGCCCGTTTATACACCAGCCCCGAAGTATCTGCCAAGGAGACAGCTAGGCTGTCACCTCAACACTGGTGTGGGTATTAAAAGCAGTGTTGATGGCAAGAAGATGCTGGTCCTCACGGGAGTAGTGGAGGGTCGTGACCCCACAGAGCCAAAAAGCAGACAGGAAGCAGACCAGAGCAAATCAAGTTGGGTGGACACAAGTGACAAGCTCACGAGCCAAAGAATTTTCCACATGACAACTAAACAAAAGCTTCTAAACATATTCAGAGATGTGCAACTTCACACTTGAACTGTAGTGGAGCCTTTTTAATGGCTGATAAATTAGGAAGGCTGTGTCAAATGACAGAGTGAAAATATAAACCACAGAGACATTGCAGAAGTATCTGTTAAAAGATTTAATCACCCAAAATGTTAAGCATTTTAAAATATTTAAAGGTGTTACTAAAGTCACTAACTTCAGTTAAATGTTTAAGGGTGTTCATGTGAATGTAAATGAAAGTAAAATCACACACACCACAACTTCTAAGCAAAAGGAGTCCCAGTTCATTTGTCAGCTGAACGAACACTTGCACCGACCTAGACTTGCTATTTTTCTAAACTTGTTTCTGACCAAACAAAGAACTAACTGCATGAAGAGGTGATCAACATAACTAGCTTCAGACTGTTGTAACATGCTGAGAGATAAATCTCGGGATGTCACTGGTTTGGCCTTAAAAAGAGAAAAGGTACACTTTCATTTTCACAAATGCTCCTGTAGCTTTCAGGTTGCTGGTCTACGGGCTGCTATTTTTAAAAGGAGTGGAGAGGCAAAAGTAAACCATACAGTATACTGTAAGCTAGTAGCTGAGCCATACTGTATACTGTATATGATGGAAGTATGTTTCCTAATGATGTTTAAAGTTATATGTATTTTTGCTGCTGCCTCACAGTGACTCTTGAACCATTCAGTCCATCTTAACAATTTACATCTACATTTTGCATKCATAAAAAGTGCAGTTCTGAGTACTAGGGCTGAAAAATGTATCACAATATAAGCATTTCATATAATTTGAAATCAATAATTATTGATTAGGGGTTTTTTTGTTTGTTTGTTTTTGTTTTTTCTTTTTGTTTTACCTATTTGAAATAAGGACAAGGAGAAAAAAAGACTGATTAATTCTGCCAAACTGGGGATACGACTTTTCCTCTTTTATTCACAATTTCCTCTCAATCTGTTAATCTCATTTTCTCCTTTCACTTCATGTCACTCTTTTTTTTATTTTTAAGCAGTTCTGAGGCATAGTGATGAAACATGAAACTGCTACTGTGCATGTTACTCAACACATTGTTGTTAGCTTACCGAGATGCCACCAACCTTGTTTAGCTGATCAGAGTTCAGTGAAATTATCAACCTTCTATTGGACATATTTTCCACTGACATTGATTACATGTATATTYTGATGTTTATCACTATTGTTTTCTATTATTTTTTTGATCACGTGTCTATCGTGATATACAGCAGTGGTTCCAAAAGTTGGGTTTGGGACCCACAGTGGGGTCCTGAAACATCAAGGTGGGGTCCTGAATTTTTTTAATTAAWTACACTACAAACTGACAACKAACATTTTTTGCCTTTGTTGTTGCACAATAATAAGATTAGTGTACTTAAAATGGACAAAAATAGCCTAATAAATATTGTTACTATGCTCTTGTTTATTTGACATGAAAACATTGTTTATCATCTGGTAACAGCTGGGGGCACYGGTCTCTGCTGCTGGTATTTTGTGGGTCAAAAGCTGAAAAGTTTGGGAACCACTGATATACAGTACATCGTTATATAATTATTGCCCAGCCTTTCTGAGTGCCTCTATCAGCTGCAGCTGTGCAAAATACATTCCTGCTAATTCTAATTCTGAATAGGAACACAGTATTTTTTAACGCTTTTTCATGTGAAAGCTTCTACATTTTATATGCCATGTCAGAGAAAAACACARGGTGTGATTTCTGTTCATGGTGTGAAAGGTCAACTTGTTTTTAGATCAAAWAGGGCTGGCAGAGATTACAAAGCCATAAAATAAATCCCTGCAAATGTGAATAACCAAAGAAAACATACTTTTGTGTATGTGGTGAAGGCACTAGTAAATGACAAATCTTGGTCAGGTAAACCTTTCAACTCGTCTCGATTAGTATAGAACTTCCTCAGATCATTTTGTTGGAGGTATGTTCACTTGTGTATTTTCCTAAGTGTTGAACATTGAACTGGTAATAGTTAKGAATAAATCTGCACAACATTGTAAATTACAAACAATTCCATTCATTGTTTATATTGGCTTTTTATGAGGATTCTTTATAGTATTTTGTGAGGAATCTTTTTAAACTCACTTAATCGGTAGTTTACTTAATTTTCCATTCTTCACTGTTACACTTGTTTCTTCCACCCCACCAGAGACTCACTGTTTGTTTGTATTGAGATTTTTGCTCATGAGTGGGCTGAGGTTGAAAACCAGTTAATTTACAATATCAGAACAGGAAATTCGTAGCAGTAATTTGAATGATTCAGGCATTTCCTCACATGCAGTAGATGACAAAAGAAGTGGTCAAAGTAGTTCACTAAATTTAGTTTCTATCAATACAGTTGATCATCAGCTGGCTCAAACATAAACATTGATTAACTTGTGTATTGTATTGCTTCTTTCTGGTTTCATGGCCATTGAAATGAATGAATATTACAGACTTAATTGGTCTAAGTCATTGATTAGATAATGTGTTTTTTCTTCAAACATAGCAGCAAAACCTCCTATTTACACATAAAGATGGTATAAGTGGCCTACAACTGCTCAAGTGTGCAATAATTTAACTTTGTTGTGATTTGACTKCTATTAGATACAACACTTACACACAGTGAACAAGAGTTATGGGTGGGCTTACCCTACTGAGARCCAGCTAATGCCACAGTGGAGATGTAAACTGTTTACTCAGCTGGAGCCGAGATGGAGCAGTTAGAGCTGAATTCATTAAATGAGTACACTGAGGCTAATCCAGGGCACACCAGATGATATGCAGGGGCAAACAGTTTGTAATTAGTTTCCCAACAGAGGTTCATGATTACAAGGAATCACCATTCAACATTCCCATGTTGGCCTTTGCAAAGGCCAGAATGCCACAGTCACATGCGGTCTGTGTGTGGCCCACTGAACTATATACAGACCTTCAGAGCTGATATTATGGTTCAGGTTTTGGCAAATGTATGACCTCTTGTCCTAAATATTGAGTTACTGTAAGATGATTTTAAAGCAGAGTAGTTCAGGTCAGTCTAAACACGAAATGATGAGCATGACTGTGTTTGGGTACAGGAGACTCCAGACTCAAAATTGGCAGCCACAGTTCTGGATTTAGTTCTAACAAATTCTTACACCTTATTATAAGACAGGGGGTTTGTAAGGTTGTGTGTATTTTCTGTTTATTTGTATACATGCACACATGCAATAACAGACTATTGTAATGGTGCCATATGAGGATTTACCTTTCATCTTTAATTCTGTATATTAACAAAGTCATTGTAGAAAATAAACATGAAGCATCAGAAAGACATCTGAGAATTTTTGATATTAAACTGAAAGTTATGATAAAAACTAGACAAATTTAGGAGCATAAAAATCARTGTTTTAAACAGCACATTGCACTGTTCTTTCAAAGCTTGGTCACAAGTCACGCTCCACATAAAGAACCTATATACAGTATTTGTGGTCTTATGGAACATAAAAACATTCTATCTATCCGTTACACTGACCCAATATTCCCGAGTGGTAAATAATTTTTATCTAAATTTCTGCTTTATCACTACTTTCAATAAAACATTGTGACGTGTGTAAATCCAGGTGTTTGAAAAACTAAAACAAACCTTAAAAACATCAAGTTGTATCACTTTTACAATGTGATGTGTTTTGTTTTATGCACTGCTTTTCAACTGCTGCTTTGTATACTTGTTTTATGTTGTWTATGTTTGTTTATATTTTGCTCAGGGCAACAGATGAAAATTAGTCAGCACATTTATGTTATTTTAAATATTGAAATTGAAGTTCRCTCTGAAAGGCTGAAACATACAAAACATGGTTCACAGAGACGTCATTCTGATCGGAGTCTGATCTGATGATGGTCTGAGCAGGAATGGATTAGCTTTTGTTGGGAACATCATGTTGGATCTCATCTGAATGTGCAGGGAGTCGTTTCCTGCTGGGACTACATAAACAACCTCRGACCGATGTGGTCATGTTTTCAGTGACCACAAACATTCTTTGTACCAACTCCCACACTGACCTCAAGTCAGTTGGACAGAAATGGGGAAATTTTTGGATATAAAAATGGAGACATAAAAATATGAATCTGCAATGTCTGCCATTTGCAGGGCAGCTGGATATTTTTATTTTAAATATCTACAGTAGCAAGAAAGCTTGGTACTGTATAAAAATAAGAGGTAAAGAGATAAAACACATGACCCCTATTTTACTTTATAAATCTACACAGAGYAGTGTGTTTGTGTTTACTCACGCAGAACGTCCTTCGACGTCAAGCTTGGTGGGAATGATGCCTTTCTTGCTGAGAACAGCAGCAACTTTGTCCACTTCGCGACGCTCCACTGCCTTCATCAGCCGATCATCATACTTGTTCCAGTCTGTGTTCTGACAATGACAAAAAGGAAACAATCAGACATGCAAAGCAATAAACAATGTTCCCTCAAACAAACTTATTAAAATTAAAATTGAATACTGAGACCTGATTCAACATGTAAAAATACRTGCTTCCATATATGGACACTGCCTTAGGTCTCCATAGGTAAATAGTGGGGATTTTTAGGTATTCATTTTTATTTTAACTGATAAAATCTGTGCCATGTAGGTCAAAAGATTATTTGACAAAAAATGTCACTATTAATATGTTACTTCATTTGCATTTTCTACATCAATAGGGAATCAGATTTCAAGTGTAAAAAAATGTAAAGAATGTGCTGTACTACTATCCTCTTAACACCCCCCCAACACAAGTGACAGCTACAAAACATGAGAACAGAGTACTCCCCTACAAGAGTGGAGATTTACATTTAACAGAAAAGACCACTACACACGAGCTTAACTAAAGATCACAAGCTATAGGAACTAAAACGGATATATTGACACCATATGACAACTATAAGTGTGATCTATAGTGAAAAAGTGAAAATACCAAAAGTAGATACATACAAAGTGCATGGAGGTGCATTTTAGCCAGCGGCTCATCTTGGGTGAGTGGAGCTGGTCCTTGCACCGTGCTACTGAAAACGTTGCCACTGTTCCGGTTTACAAAGACAAAAAAATGGAGAAAAACAAAAAAGTATATATATATAAAAAAAAATCTCTCAGTGCACTCAACCAGTGAGTGCAACAAAAAACGATGGGTAGTTTACACCACAGTAGAAGTCCTTGTCCTGAAGGCTCAACCACAAGACTCTTCCTCACTGGAGGCAGAAAAGTTTATTTGTCAGGTTTTTTAGGGCATTTCCCTGTTGCTCGTGAGCTGTACTTGCATTTCCATCACTGCACAGCAGTTTGGTAGATGGTTAAAGGGGAGGAGAGGCYGGGGAGTAGGAGAGGAGAACGGAATGGAGGTGGAGAAGCAGTAGGGCCAGCCCCGCCAGCACCGGGACCTGCCCTGGCCGGCAACTGCAACTCCTCCTCTGGTGGAAAAGTCAGCTCAGTCTGGCTGCCTCTCGCCTCCGACAGGAGCTCTTCCCTCCGCCTCAAACCTCCTGCTAATTCAGTCTCTTTGTTTRGATTCTCCTCTGCTTGATTTCTGGAGCAGTTTCTGTCTGAAAAAGCTGAACTTGCTTATCAAAAGAGAACTAAAGATTTTCTCCTTTGTCTCTCCTCTCCGCTGTTAGTGGTCTCCAGCTTCTTCGCACCACCAAATGGCAAGGTCAGTCGAGCTCAGCGGAGTAAATATGTAAGCTCTCYCAGGTTTAAAATATCACCCCTTCCCTGGTAAACAGCAGCAGTGCAGACAGCCCTGCAGACTGGTTACCTCTTTATTTTTTGACCCTCCAACCTTTCTGCAGTGYCTGATAGGAAGATGGGGGCTAAGAATACATTCTGGACATGCCAGTCCAATGAGTAATGGCTTTAGTGTCTTTCAGCACTGCCAGCATAAAACAAGGCCTGCCAAAAGATTTAGCTTACATTGCCCCCCCACCATGCTCCCTGCTCACCTCCAAGTGAAAATATTAATGTCAGAGGGGATTATTTGAAGTGTTGTCGGCACAAACGCTCAAACGGACTTTACAGAGCCYTAACCTACTGCTAGCCTGTCTGTCTACAGAGGGTGGTGTGGCTCCAAAGCTCCAGGATCCTTGTTGTGCACTACCAAAGTCAGAGATCAGTCTTTATACATTTAAACACCTGAGACTTTGGCAGAACTTTCACTTTTTATTGGGTAATTCATTATGAGGCAAAAATGCACAGAGACAGCAAACCAAGAAAGGAGTAGGAATGGAGGGCTCGTTTAATTTACACARGGCATCAGCTCCTTGTGGGCTCTGGTTACTGCCTGCTGCCAGACTGGCGTTTACAGWGCAACGGTGATATTCACAAACATGCAAAAAGACCTCGTTCACATGACATGTCATTTGAAGAAGTAGGTGTCAACTTACGAAAGCTGCTCACCCTTGCATGGAGACAAAGACGCCATGATGGCATTGAGCCATCACATACGTTGGTCACGTAAATATCTCACATGGATTTGCTTAGGAATCTGTTTGTGTACTAGTTAATATTAGAGCTGTTAGCAAGCAGAAGTGCTCAGAAAAGGCTTCTTGATGGTAGCCTACTCAATTCTCAATGCAAGATGAAACATTTCCTTGCACGTTTTCAGGTTTGTGCAAAGACTATAAAAATAGATAACATATATAATAAAACATTTTGCAAATTTTTCTCCTATATTTTAATTTCACAAGCAGAAACTACGCTCTGATGAAATAATTATGAATGTTAAGCACATTAAAACGTTTTTATCGCATTCAAACAATCAAACTTAGTATTCTACTTCATGTCTTTTGTGTGACCAATAGATATTTGGCTGAAAAAATATTTTAAAATCAAATTATGTGCATGATAAATGAAATTCAYACATCATCTGRGGTGCCCAATCCTGGTCCTCGAGGGCCACTATCCTACATGTTTTAGTTGTTTCCTTTAATCAGCAGGTCTTAAAGTTATGCAGAATCCTGTTAATCACTCATTCATTCAAATCAGGTGTGTCAAAGCAGAGAAACATCTAAAACATGCAGGACAGTGGCCCTAGAAGACCAGAACTGGGCACCAATAGTTTTAGATATTTTGAACATAATGTACATCACATTTGGAAAATATTTGGAAAACATAGTAAAAAATTGGGTGTCCACTGTATTTTCCAATTTTTTGTAGCCCTGTGACCTTTTTCAATTTTTCAAATTTGTCTTTTCTAAATTGGTTAGTTACTAACAATGTATTAAACTGCAAATATGGATATTGTTTTTAACGTAGTACTCTAGTCTTTGGACTCTAATGAAACAGATGCAATGTTTTTTTAGAGRGAATTCCTAAATAGAAGCGATTTGGTTTCAATATTGTAACTGTACTGACACATGCAATTTATTTCTGATACAGTAACAATATTCAGCCCTTGTACAAGTGAAACAAACACATTACCTAGAGTTTCTATTTTAACACAGACACCTCGGGGACTGAACATCAGCCAGCACTGGATAAAGTAGGTCTGGCTGCTACCTGTCTACACTGATTTTTCTTGGTGCCTGTTAATGCTTCACTTAGAGGATCTTGTCAGCTTCACGTCAGATTTGGCCTCACTTTAATGGCTGTACCTCTTTGCCCTCACCTCCGTGTCCTCCATCTTTCAGCCCCTTGCTACATTAATGGGCGTCTAATGTTCTCCCAGATGAAATCACCAGCAAAAAATATCCTACCGGTCATAACAACAGCCCAAAGCCAAAAATTTGAGCATAAAGCTATGTGCCAGTACGTTAAGTGATAGTTGTGTTCAGCAAACTTCAGCAGCTGATATGGTTTCAAATTATAACTACTGGGATGATGGTGATCAGAGAAGGCATCTATGAAGAGACATTAAGTCATAAAAGTTAAACCTTTGACATTCATGAGCTATATGCTGTATTAGGAAGTTAAAAGCCAAATATATGACACAGAAATAAATAAATGAGGGTAAAAAAAATACAGATTCACGTGACCCTAGYTGTGAGTGAGAGAGTGAATGGTTGTTTGTCTTATTTGTCTCTACGTGTCCCRGTGATGGACTTGTGACCTGTCCAGAGTGTACCCCGCCCCTCGCACAGTGACTGCTGGATATGGGCACCAGTGACCCTCGGGTAAAAGACAATGGCTGTTTCATGAGACACTAACATGGTTTTTACTGAGAAAATGTTTTCTGGTGCAAAAAATATATTTAGACTTTAATTTAAACCTAAAATATGTCTTCAACAATGCATACGTTCAAATTTCTGTTTTAGTAATAAATTCACAACACATCATCTAAACCCATTACATTACTCTAGGTYTACAGTTTGTGTATGATAGTTGTGTTGACCATGTCTAAATATATGTCAATGTATCCTTTAGCYTCTTTTGTTCAGCTGATATATTTAATTAATCAATTAACTCATCCATCCATTTTCTGTACACCCTTCTTCCTTTCGGGGTCACGTGGGTCACTGGTGCCCATATCCAGCAGTCACAGTGCGAGGGGCGGGGTACACCCTGGACAGGTCGCAAGTCCATCACAGGGCCACACATAGAGACAAACGAGACAAACAACTATTCACTCTCTCACTCACACCTAYGGACAATTTATAAATTAACAATTCATCAATGTATTAGTTCAGCGCTACACTTCTCTCATCACTGAGGTCCTCCATCCACATGACAGAGAGGGGAACACAAAAATGACTCAGTCTGCAATTGAAAATATGGATGGAGGACCTCAGTTTAGCTTGTTAGTTTGTTGTGCTAGCGCCGATCTAATACATATAAGGCAATATAGCGTCACTGCTAGCGCAAAAGCTAACAGGCTAAGCTGAGGTTCTTCTTTCATGAAGCAGCTCTGTTG